TGTGGCGCATAAAAAGCATAAAAAGTAAAAACTTTTAAACTGGACATTTAGATGAGAAAATATATATTTGACATAAAATAAAAATAAACAAAATAAATGCTCCCTTTAGAAATTTTGTTGCTCTATAAAATAGTTATTTTCTTTTAGAATCACTCATCTTAGCAGTAGGATATACATGAAAAGAGAAACAAATTAAGTTTGAGTGAAAATGTACATTTTTTGCACTCTCTGGTCAACTGACTCAGTGAATCAAATGACTCGAAAAACCCGATTCACTTTGGTGAGTGACTCATTAAAACTCGATTCAGTAAAAAGAATCAAATTTACCACCACTACTTGCTACTGAAAACAAGAAAAAAAACGGTCCTGCTATGGGCTGAACCATTTGTTAATGGTGGAGGGGGAAACACTATGCAATATATTCAGTTTTAGCATTTATATTCACTATTGACTGTAACTACGCTCAAACTGTTAATGCTATCTTATTTTAATAAACGACACTGTCATATGCAAAACTGGGGTGGCAAGGGATCATTTTAGGGTGGCACTTGCCACCCCATGCCACCCTTCTAGATCCGCCCCTGTCTGGTTAGACCACAGGATAGGCGTCTGCTTCTACATTAATAGTGGCTGGTGGGCAGATGTAACAGTGATTGCTCAGCACTGCTCTTCCTCTCTGGAATACTTTTTTATTCACTGCAAACCGTTTTATTCTCCGCGGGGGTTTGCATCATTCATCTTGGCCGATGTTTACATCCAGCCAGATGCGGATGTGCAGTCAGCTCTGGCATTTTCAACTCCTCACTGCAGGCATGTCATGTGCCTGTCTGCTTCAAGTCCTCTACCATAATCCCTGTCCCCAAGAAACCAAGGATCACTGGACTAAATGACTACAGACATGTGGCTCTGACATCTGTCATTTGAGCGCCTGTTTCTCTCCTACCTCAAGACCCTCACGGCCCCCCTCCTGGACCCCCTCTAGTTTGCATACAGAGCCAACAGGTCTGTAGACGATGCTATCAACATGGCTCTGCACTTCATCCTGCAGCATCTGGACTCCCCAGGAACCTACGCCAGGATCCTGTTTGTGGACTTCAGCTCTGCCTTCAACACTATCCTTCCAGACCATCTCCGAGGCAAGCTTTCCCAGATGAATGTGCCTGATCCCATCTGCCGGTGGATCACTGACTTCCTGACGGACAGGAAGCAGCACGTGAGGCTGGGAAAGAATGTCTCGGACTCCCGGACCATCAGCACCGGCTCCCCTCAGGGCGAGTACACTAACTGCTGCACATCCACCCACCAGTCTGTCAATCTAATCAAGTTCGCAGATGACACCACCGTTATTGTCATCTTGGACGGGGATGAGTCTGCCTACAGGAGGGAGGTTGAACGTCTGGTGTCCTGGTGCTGAATGCCCAGAAGACAGTGGAGATTATTGTGGACTTCAGGAAGCACACAGCCCCACTCCCCCCCATCATCCTGACTGACACCCCCATCACCTCTGTGGACTCATTCCGCTTCCTGGGTACCACCATCACCCAGGACCTGAAGTGGGAGCCCACCATCACCTCCGTCATCAAGAAAGCCCAGCAGAGGATGTACTTCCTGAGGCAGCTGAAGAAATTCAACCTGCCAACACGGACGATGATGCAGTTCTACACTGCAATCATCGAGTCCATCCTCACCTCCTCCATCACCGTGTGGTACGCTGGAGCCACTATCAGGGACAAACAGAGACTGCAGCGTGTTGTGCGCTCTGCTGAGAAGGTGATTGGCTGCAGACTCCCATCTCTGCAGGACCTGTACACCTCCAGGACACATGACCCTACACTGTGTTCACTGCATCATTCCATGTTTGGCACTGATCACCACCTGCACTCATGTATATATCTATCTACTTAGCACTTTTAATTTTAATTTTTAGGTTTATTTAAGCATTGTCTGTCAGTATGTTTACACTAAGTACCGCAGCAATTACCTAATGTTGTAAACCTGCTCAAAATTTGGCAATAAAACCCTTTCTGATTCTGATTCACTTACTAAATCTGCGAGATCTACAGAATATTGTATTTGGTTTAATTGTTATGTTTTATGTTATTTATTTTTTTTTCTTAAGTATAAAGACAGATCACAACATAAGTCATTTAACTGAGCAGGTTATTGTAGCTGTATGTTAAAAATGGTAAATGGCCTGTATTTGTATAGCGCTTTACTAGTCCTCTAAGGACCCCAAAGCGCTTTACACATCCAGTCATCCACCCATTCACACACTGGTGATGGCAGCTACAATGTAGCCACAGCCACCCTGGGGCGCACTGACAGAGGCGAGGCTGCTGGACACTGGCGCCACCGGGCCCTCTGACCACCACCAGTAGGCAACGGGTGAAGTGTCTTGCCCTTTCTCTCCCTGTTTAGGATTTCTGTGACTGCAGTGAAAATTTCCTCCAGCCGTCACTTATTCCAGCTGACCTAGACTAAAGTAAAAATTAATCCTAAAGCAAAGGACATTACTAATGAACACTGATTATACAGAACAATAAATATACTTTTTTTTTATAGTTAATATAGATTACAATCTTGAGCTTATATAGTGTTTTGCCTGCTTCAACAACAACGCAGCAGTAAGAATAAATATCACAGTGCAGAATAAAAACTTATTCTGCAGTGTGATATTTATTCTTACTGCTGAGTTGTTGTTCAGCTGAGAGTTTAACAGACTGTTGTTAAAACATAAATATATCAGCAGCTTATGGGTGAAACAGAAAACGCAGTTACAATGAACATTTACATGATCTGGGAAACTGATGTCGCTGGTTTTCATAAATAGTCAGATGATCCATCGCAATGAATTATGGGACAGCATTTTCTCATCCCTTTTCATAAAAGATGGCCCCTTGTATCCTACGCTACAGGAAGCAATAAAGGAAGCATTGAAGCTCCTTTCCTCAGTGTTTGGAGAATTGGAACAGCTCTTACTGTGGCCACCACGAAGGTACTTCCACGTCACGTCTCTCAGTAGGAACCTTCCGAAGCAAATTGGAACGCGCCCCTGGTCAATACTTTCACTTTCATTAGTGTTGGTGGTGCAGTAATAAGTTCCGCTTTCAAATCAAATCAAGCTGAACGTTTCAAAACGAAAAAGAAATATATAGACGAAAAGCTGGATGAAGTCAGTGCGTTGGATATATTGATTGAGTTTAATAATAATTGATTACTGGCCGCACAAGAGGACAAATTAGTCTCATGACCGAAGAGTCTGGGGTGAGTTTGTGTTCAAGTCATTTTTGCTGATAAAACGGTGCATGTGCTGCAAACAGCTTTGTTAAACTAAGAGACAGAAATAGGCTCACTGAACTCCTGATTTTAAGACGTCTTTATGACTTCAGGTTTAGTGTGAGTTCAGATAAATGCGGATTTGACACGAAAATGGCATAGAGGTGTAGTTTTATACACTCAGGCACGTCCGCGTACATATTTGACTGACATATATTTTAGCACACCCAAAATGCGTCCACTTTAGTGCTAATATTTCCATTTAATTTATCTAATATTGTTATTGGTTATTTTCAGGAACTGCTAGAACTTCTAATTTTGGAAAAATGATTAATATTTGTGATGTATTATTGTAACATGGCCTGCACCGAAAGACGGTAAAGTGGAACAACCCTGCAGCTGCAGCTGTTGATTTCAGGGCAGATGCACGTCAGTTGCTGGGCTGAACTTCTGCCCACTACTGAGATTTAATCAGGGAGGTGAATTGAGTACACTGTATCTTCGTTGTCCCTGAACTTTACCCGTATATACAGGCATTTCATATTTGTCATTATGGCATCTCTGGAGCTTGTACACTTACATGCTGCTTACAAGGATGGGCAAGTGTGCAAGCCTCCTGTAAGTCTCATTTTCATTCTTCCTTTTGGATAGTTGCTTGCTCTCTAACTGTGTTGCCATCTCTTCTATGGGCTCAAATTGTGGTCATAAATATTTTGTACTTGTAAATCAGGATTTGTATGTGTAAAAAGAATTTGTGTGTGCGTAAAAAAGATTTGTGTGTGGACTTAGCCAAAAAATACATGTGAAACTTTGAACCTATTTTTCTTCCTTTCATCTGATTGGCCAATGTCATGTCAATCAGAGAACAGATGGGTTTGGCTGTCGGAGGGGCGCTTGTTTGAACTGCAGGTCCTTGAAGGGTAATACAGTTTTAAGCTGGAGGATCTCTATATAAATATCCGAGAGATGCTAGATCCCCTAACTTTCAGTAGCTGTTGAAAGAATAAAGTTGTGGTATATCAGTGGTTAGAAACACCATTATTACTTTAGGATTAGTTTAACACAAAGTCAGGGCTGACCCGGGACCATTGCTGTGAGTCACAGTGCGCAGCATAAAGGTCCTTTCACATCGGACGCAGGATGTGCTGCTAATGCTAACTGCTAACTAAAAGCAAAGGATCCAGAATTTGTTGCGCTGGCTGCTGGGCTCTGTGGGTTTTTGCAGCAGCTCTACCTGTACTAGATGCACCTGCTCCTTGTCTTTTCTATCTCTGACTTTATGTCCTCTACAAGAGTTTGTTTTTTTTGCTGGTTCTTCAAATGTTCAATAAAATCATGTATCCCCTACCCCCCAGAGGTCCGCAGCGCTGTTGAAAAGGCTCTGGAGGTCCCTGTATTAAGCACATAAACCTGTGACAGAAAAATCACCAAACTGAGACCACCACAGAATGTTTTCCTTCCTGGTGATGAAGGAAAACGCTGAGCTGGCATTCAAAAGGGCATTTATTCCCTTCAAGGACCTGAAGCTCCATAAAGCACCCCTCCAATAGCCAAACCCATCTGTTCTCTGATTGGATAGTTAAATTTGTGATTGACATGACATTGGCCAATCAGATGAAAGGAAGAAAAATAGGGTCAAAATTCATACTTGTAACTTGAAACTTGAGTGCAGAGTTTCACACATTTTTTGGCCACAGTCCACACACAAATCTTTTTTTACATACACACATCCTGATTTACAAGAACAAAATATTTATGACCACAATTTGAGCCCATACTCTTCACCTTATGTTTTCTCTGGTGAATTCAGAGAGTTACAGATAGTGTGAAAAGGTGTTTCCTCTAGATTTCCCATTTTTTGTACATTTTTCACATTTAAATGTTTCAGATTAACAAAAAAATAAAATATCAGACAAAATTAACAAAAGTAAACACAGAATGCAGTTTCTAAAGGTGTTTATTATTAAGGGGAAGAAAATGCAAATCTACATGATGCTGTGTGGAAAAAGTGATCGGCCCCTGATGGCCCTTTGTTGGGCCACCCAGCAACAACTGCAGTCAAGTATCTGTGAGTCTGTCTGATTTAGGACTTTGACTAGGCCACACTGAAGTGTTCAGAGAAACTGAAAATACACCTGTGATACACCACAGTTAATTCACATTTTAACATTCATTAATGGTAATAGTAAATTTATTTATACAGCATATTTCATTATACATGAACGCAGTGTGCCTAATACAGAAAAACGGGAGGGAGTGAAAACAGCAAACTTAAAAGAAAAAAAAAAAATTGAGTGTAGGCCTATGTGAACAAAAATCTTTTGAGTCTGGTTTTGAATGTCAACACAGATGGAACGGATCTTGGGTCAGCAGGCAACATTTTCCAAAGAACAGGACAATTTATTAACACACGGATGGCTGATAATTTGACAGTAAATAATGTTTAGTGTGCTTCTACACATTGCACAGGTCAGCTGCTACAGTCACTTTGCTTACAGCTTAATTGCAGCACTCTTATGTGAAAACTGAATTTCAACCAATGTAGCTGCAGAACATTTTTAATGAGCAGTCTGTTTTTCATTTGGCTTGTCAGCTGACACTAAACTTGACCAACTACATCCATCTGTGTGCACATATAGTACTATATGTGTGTACTATTTGCATGTGTGCGTGTTTTAAATTCTGTGAAAATAGTTAAAAGTCGGAGGACATAGCTTCATGGGTTGTCCAGATCACAGACATAAGTAAAAGTTCCCTTTTGTTGTTTTAAAACTTGCTAATTATGTTATTAATAATTCTTTCTTGAAAATGTTTAGGGGTGAAGGTCACACAATGGCAACTGCAGGAACTGGTAAGTCCAGTCATTCTTTAAATCCTTGTAACAAAGCATTATTTAAAAAATAAATCAGACTGAAGGTGGATACATAAGCTCACAGAACATCTGATGGTGTGCACATGTAAACACAGGTTTTAGAAGGTTGTTCTAAAAGATTTATTTCTAACAGCTGGTTTGGTAGATGGATGGGGTTAGGTGGATCAGTGAATGGATGATTTCTTTTCTGTACATCAAATAATTACAATTAAAAACCAAACCAAACAGCACTACTAAAAGCTGTGCAAAGCATAAAATTAGTATAACATCAACTTGCATCACTAACACATCCACCATCTTGGTATTTCCATTTCTTTAAAGTTAACCGACATCTAGTACATTTGACTAAATATCCCTTTCGACTGAGCGGTAATCAAATAATTGGAAGGTTAAGCAGAGTCTTCTAAAATTATAGGGTTCTGTTTGTTCTCACTCTGATGGTAAGGAGGTAAAAGGCCTGCCAAAAACCAATATATTCATGAAACTTGTCATACCACGCCTCTAAGTAACCTCCTGCTTGTACTTGATTGTTGATCTAGAACTTTCTGATCAACCATAGTGGTAGCAATATGCTAGTGTCCAAAGCTGAACCTCTGAAGGAGGTTTTTCCCAGCTGATTTGGGAAAACACATGTTTTCATAGCAACAGGGGCTGTCAGGGAGTAACAGATGGATGTGACTGGGACTTTAACAATAATTTTCGTAGGGACTGCCATCAACCTCCAGGAATCACTCACGAGTGCTCGGTTACACCAGAAACGTCAGAATCTCAGGTTAAAGCTCACAAAACTATTTCAAAAACCACCAAACAGCTAAAACAGAAAATGAGAGCTGGAAAACAGATTCCGCACAAAGATGTTAACACAAAGTGCAGATTGTTTACCTGACTGCACGTACACGCCATCGGGGCTAAAAGCGGACATCTCACAGATTCTGAAGCTGCAGGTTTCGTTGCGCCGACCAAAATTCACTGAACCAGCAGTAAAAGAAGATCTGAAACAAAAATCGTCTGGTAAGCAGAATCCCAGTCCAAAACATTGCAAAACCCCTCACAACAGTCCCCCAAACAACGTTCAGGCGGCCTACCTCGGGTCTAGTGACCACAGTAACACAGATCTGGCGGCAGCCACGGGTTCGGTGGCATTGTTGTTGCAGCTCAGGGGGCCTGCCACAGGTCTGGCAGCGGCGGCATTGCAGCTCCGGTGAGCCACAGTGTAGAATGGCACATGATCGCCGATGTGCTGGTCGTGCAGGACGTGGGTGTGGAGGGCGCGCTCGACGTGGAGGGCACGCTGGGCACGCTGGACGACGTGGAGGGCACGCTGGACATGGAGGTCCCTCTGGCACACAGACCTCCAGCTTTGGCGGAGCCGGTCCCTCCCGCTCGCTGAGCTCCTCTGCCGGGAGTGAGGGCCCCTCCGACAGCGCTGCAGCTACAGATGGTCGAGCCGAAGGTGATGAAGGTGATACGGCAGCTGCAGGCGGTGGATGTAGTGTCAGAGTAGCGGATGTGGATGGTGGAACAGATGACAACTGAAGCAGCCCCTCTGACCTTCCAGCGGAGACTGATGTGGGACAAGCAGGTGTATCGGCCTCTGGCTGAGGGTGTAAATGTGTGGCTGACTGGACTAAGGACTGAGCTACAGGTAGTGGGGCAGCAGACGGAGTTACATGCTGGGCTGAAAAAAAACTAACACCGGGCTGTCTAGCAATGGACTCTCTAGCTGATCAGCAGCCACAAAAACAGTTTTTAGATTTACACTTTCATAGTCCAATGACTCAGGGTTAACAGCCTCTAAAATTAAGGCTTCATCCTCAGATGGGGAGCAAGGAAAACTTTTCAATACTCTCTACACTAATTAATGACCCAGAATTAGTTGTCAGTTCATGTTCATCTTTTGGCCAATCAGAATTTTTAAGCTTATTCCCCATTGTGGGCCTTGTTTTACCATTCACCGACTGGGCGCGGTCCTTGGGTTCAGATAAAACTGTCTTTTTCACCACTAACAGATTCTGTTTTACTCACTGCGGCTCCTTGTGCGGCTAGCCCAGAGTCAACTAGTTCTTCAAAAGCCAGTGGAGTAAGTGGAAAGGTGGTATGACGATGGTGCGGGCGCCGTCTCCTCCGTGGAGGCGGGGCCGCGTTAAAGGAAACTGTCCCGTCCTGTTCATCTGCGTTTAGATTCTTAATGACAGGATCTAGTGAAACAACTGAGTCAGGTTTACTCACAGCTAGGGATGGGTACCGGTGTCGGTTCTGACATAAACGGTAGTAACCAGACCGAAAAGCAGCGCACATTTCGGTGCTTTTTTTTTCCCCCTGAGCTGTGATACACTTTAGATTTTAGCCAATCATTTTACGTTTCCGAGGATAGTAGGCGGGGCCAGGTACGTACGTTCTTTTAGAGCAGAGCTACAGATTAAAAATGGCCAAGGCAAAGCGGTCAAAAGTCTGGCTGTACTTCACAGCAAAAGATGCAAACTCAGCAGCCTGCAACAAGTGCTTTAAGCTGATACTGTGATACTGTCAAAGGAGGTAACACCTCAAATCCGATGAAACACCTGGCGACGCATAGCGTTTTTTTTTAAAGCCGAGAAATGCACCGCATTGATAGCTTGCTGTGAGACCTCACACCGAGCACATCTACTGCGGGTGTGGTGCCTGTTATCGGACCCGGAGTTAGCAACATCCCCCAAAAACACAAAGAGGAGAGTCCTGGCCCCTAGCCCTGCCAGTGTAGCAGAGATGATGACTGATGATGACGGCAGCAGCAGCCGCTCTTCTCTGCGTGAGTAGCTTCATGTTGTTCGTGTGTAATGTACGTTGAGTAGGCTAACCACGTTATTACATTAATGCAGGTAAGGTGAACTAGCAAACACCATCATAGCTACATGCGGCTGTCTTCTTGTTTGATGGCAGATACTCCCTTCACCTTGCCAAAAAGGCTAAAATGACCAAAGAAAAAGTGGAAAACAGTTAAACATGAGAGGTTTTTGGACAAAGTTTGTGTTTTTTTCCATTGTTTAAGCACTGCTTCCAGTCAAGAGTGATACCATATATGCTCTATAGCTGCAGAAAAGTTATTGATAGTCATTGTTATCTTTTTACAAAAAAAAAACAAAAACAGCTGAACAGGAGGTTTTTGGACCAATTTTGTGTTCTCCATTCTTTAAGCACCGGTTTGAGCACCGTTTAAGCACCGGCACTGTTTCAAAAGTACCGGTTTGGCACCGGTATCGGATAAAACCTAAACGATACCCATCCCTACTCACAGCAGTGATGAACACTGTTGGACCATCGCCGGCTGGCCCGGCTGAAGCCGCTGGAGTGGGTTGAAGTGTGATGGGGTGATGATGGTGAGGACAACATCTCTTCTGTAATGGAGGATCAAACAGTTGTGCAGCAAGCATCGACGGAAAAGCCGGCCGCCGATGCGTGAAAAACCAGGCGGCTAGAGCTTCTACAAGGGCAGCCGAATTTTCCTTGCCTGGGCCGCCCAAGCCAAATAATTCCAAACTAGAACCTGTCCTCAAACTAGTGACTATTTGAGTTAGTTTGTTAATGTCAAAAAGATTTGCTGTGAAGGTAGTGGATGAAAGGAAATTGTCAAAAAACACAACCTGTATGTGTCTCTTGTGAGGATCTACCATCCAGATTATGCTCCGGCAGTAACCCCAGAGCTGTGCGAGCATCTCCTCCTCTGAGGTGACACTTGAGTCCGCTGGGTCCATTATGGCTGGATCGTTCTGTCACGGTCTGTGGGTGGGGAAGGAGGACCCAAGATGCAGGACTTTGCAATGCAAACAGTCCATTTATTTACAGTGGAGTAAATAGTACACAATAAATTCCTCGTGCGTCTCCAACTCCTTCTCAGTGCCCATGCTCCGTGTCTCCGCTCCCGTGAAACTTGTGCTCGCTGCTTTCCCGTTCCCACACTCCTGCTAACCCTAACCCTAACCCAGAGGCAGCCGTTAACACACAAATACAAGGCGACAGACTCGCACTCACTGATTTTGCTGGAAACACTGACGGGTAGTTACTCAACGATCCAGCGTCGAGGAGCTCTCAGTCACACTGCTTTGTAGCTCCTCTGACGAGGCTTGATCAGCGCCAGGTGTGTGTGTGAGGATCCTTGGGTGTGACCGGTCAGCTGCAGGGCCACACCCACCAGGCCTGAAGGTGCCTGTCACGATGCCAATACACAAACATGGACCACAGGAATATCAGCAGTGAGGAACACACACATATAATATAATAAGTCCACAACTGTTCAGGGATTCTAGGTCACTCAGACCGGAGCAATGAGAAAATATTTCAGCTTCTGCTTTGGTGCTGCTCCACCACACAAGCAGTATTAATCCCCCATAGTTGTTTAAATCATAATTTAAAAATCAGTGCTAAAAATGTGTCTTTGTCCTTGTGCTCACAGATGATTTGAAACCACTGACACGGAGTTCCAGCAATGAATTCCTGCCACCTTCCAGTAAGTCTGTGTAAAATGTATATCTATGTGTGATGGAGGTGTACCATGTAATGTTTTTATCGTTGGTATTAAAACAACTGTGTAGTGAAATGAATGCATTTATTGCAAGAATTATTGATTTTAATTCCCTGACTTAAATGGCCTGTATTTGTATAGCGCTTTACTCGTCCCTAAGGACCCCAAAGCGCTTTACACAACCAGTCATCCACCCATTCACACACTGGTGATGGCAGCTACATTGTAGCCACACCCACCCTGGGGCGCACTGACAGAGGCGAGGCTGCCGGACACTGGCACCACCGGGCCCTCTGACCACCACCAGTAGGCAACGGGTCAAGTGTCTTGCCCAAGGACACAACGACGAGACTGTCTAAGCCGGGGCTCGAACCAGCAACCTTCTGATTACAAGGCGTACTCTCAACTCTTGAGCCACTCTTAAGGGGAAGAAAAAAAACCTTTCAATTAATATCTAACATGTAAGTTTTTGTAATGATGCATGTTTAATGTATCCATGGCATTTACACTATAGTTATAACTTCCCAGTCAGTTTGATATGCCTGTTATGCGCACCGGTTGCCTTCTGCAGGCTGTGAAGAAAAGCAAAGAAACATTTGCCAGCATCAACTTATCTATGGCCCAGTTGCATATCTGGTAATACTTGAACACAGAGGCCTTCTCTGCGCTGATGTAAACAATTTGTCGCCAGCATGAACACATAACC